GGGGGTTGGACTAGATGACCCACAGAGGTCCCTTCCAACCCCTACCATGCCGATGACTTGTGCATGTTGATGCAATTACTAAAAACAGCAAACAAACAACAGCCCTGATAACATACTGCTGGTACGTGGCGTAGAGGCATCTTAAAATAATCTTTATCCGGGGATTAAGAGTTTCTGATCTACCACTGACCTGTTTTCGGAGTATTACGAATTCATTGCACTTGGAAAACAAGATGAAAATGCTGTAAAACAAGAGAAAAGCAGATTTACAGCAGCATGAGTAACCAAGGTAAGTTGCATTGATGAGAATACTTCAAACTAAAAATCGTGCCTGGTGAAACCTCCTTTTTTCTAGGCGAGAACCCAGAGTGTGCTTGGGAATCCGGATGGAGAAAGACTGTGTCTGGGCCTTCGAAGCTGTGTGTGAAAATGCTTATTTTCACAGAATCACAGAATGGTAGGGGTTGGAAGGGACCTCTGTGGGTCATCTAGTCCAACCGTCCAAAGGGTTTTCCTTAGGAGTGAAAAACGCAGATCTCCAGATGCCCTCTATGATTTTTTTCCCCCCTCCAGAGGAGGAGGAGGCAGGGTGAGATGGATTCACAAACCCTGCTGTAGTCCTCGAGTCTAAATTAATGTGGTTATTTAAGGGCTGAATAAACATTAGGAACCAATGATTTCTGTTCACAGAAAGCCAGGAAAACGGGTGCTGACACTACCCACTTTGTGAACGAGAAGAAAGTTGTGTGTCTCCAGAACTGCAGCCATCGGAGATGTTTCATCATTACTAAATTCATGTGGGAAAAAAAGAATTGATTAAAGCAAATTAAGTGCCAGAAAGTGATTTTTATTTCATTGCCTGACACTAATATGTGGTTTTGATTATTTGTTCTTGGCCTTTTTTAGTTTTTTTGCATGGAGGAACAGAGTTAACATGAAATTTCATCTCAGTTCGAAGTGCCTGACATCTTTATCAAATGATAAATAACATGGACTTTGGCTAGAAGTTCAGTATTTCGTAATTTTGTCTGCAAAAACATTTTTCCATGGTAGATAAGGGAAAAGTGAGACACCAGAGCAATAAATTCATGCTAGTCTTTGGAGTAAAATAATAATTACTTGGGTAATACAATCTTTTATATATATATACATGTCAGGGGGCCTCTAGCTACAAATGTAAGTTGACTGAAGTCTCGAATCCTCACGCCGTTACCCCTGAATATCCGCGCTGGAGCGAGTGGGACCTTGCCTTAGCGTGGGTTGATAAAAGTGGCCATTATAAAGGCTGAAAGGTTTGCAAAGGGGCGATAAACCGGCACAGGCGGGGCTGCCCTCTGTCCCTACAGGCGGCTGGAAATTACTGTCGGGTGAGCTTAATCTCCAGCAACGCCTCGGAGATTTGGTAGCGGAGGAACCCGAGGGCGTAGCTGGTTGGGGTCTGGCCGAGGGAGCGCTTCACGCAGTCACCGTCTCCGAATGTCACCTCATCAGACAGACAGAGAAATCCGGGCTCTCATATTCTCATTAATAAATAGTTTCAAATGTTTTTAGAATCATACAGGCGTAATGCACCTTTTCTCTATCTTTTGGAGGGGAGAAGACTGGTTTGAAAAGGCCACTGTTGGTGTATCCCATAATCTGACTCTGCGACGTGTGCGGCTGCGTTCTTCCATGTTACGGGTGTGTTTGTGTCCAGGGGACTGCTCGCTCTCTTTGGGCAGGCTTTTAATAGTAATCGGGAGGCGAGATTAAAGTGCCACCAGACAGCCTGCTTGGGAAGCGCCTGGATCATGGGTATTGAGCGGTCACTCTTTTTTATTTACCGTAGCGTAGTATTTTTCACAACAGCTTGGCAGCCACACCAACCCCAATATTTTTTTTTTATATTCACAAGTATGAAGATGTTATGGTGAAAGACAGCGCCATTTTCACCCAGAGTCGCTCATCTGCCAAGAGATTCTTGTCCAGTAGGTGAAACTGTAGAAGCCCACAGCTGGTGACTATAAATTCCTGCCGTAATTGGTTCTGCCAGAGATGCGGCTCCGGGAGGTGGCTCTGCGGGGAGGGACCTGGGACGGGACGCCGAAAGGGGGAGCGATTTGGGATGCCGAAAGGAGGAGGGATCCCAGGCAGTGCTGGCCGTCGGGAAAGCATCCGTGTGTTTGGTGTGGGAAGGGGCTGGGGTCTGTCCAGCCCTGGTTCTTCAGTCTCCGCGGGGGAGATGACACCCCCGGGAGAGGAGCACCGCGATGGTGCAGCGATGGGTTCCCTGTCGTCGTCATCTCTCGGTGGTGGCTCATGGCAAGTGCCTGTAAAAGACTGGAACAAGGGGGAGAAGGTTTGGTCTTGTTTGGCCTATTACAGGCTTAAATGTTGTGTTAAATTACTGTCCAAAACTTCACCGAAGCAGTCATCGGTTGGATAGCGTGACCGATTTCCCATTTCGGAGTTGTCCACATGTGACAGTTCCAACTCACAACAGATTCTTACTCGACTGTGGTTTCCTTTTGCTGTAGAATTTTTGCTGAGATGATCGGTTTGCTGCTCTTCTGCTATGGACATTCGCTGTCAGTCGTCACTGCTGCATTCAGACGCTGTGAGGGTTGTTTCTTGGATCTGTTTTCCTCCTCCTGTTTTTGCCTTTCTTTGTATTTCTGTGTTGTCACTTGCAGTCATGGTTTTGCCAAGGGGAGCTGTGTTAAACTCAGTCGCCTCCCCTCCGGCCCGGCCGTGCGGGTGGGTTCTGCTGCTCCTCTCCTTGCCTGGGACGGAGGGAGGGTGCGTCTCTCTCCAGGTGCTTTGAGTTCTGCTGTGCCTTTGTGGCAAATGAAGGAGCTAGCAGTAAGGTCTGCTGCTGGTGATGCAGTAACCTCTCCAAAGAAGTATAGCAAAGCCTTGGACAAAAAAAAGTTACTGGTAGTTTTCGTTGTTAAAATTTTGAAACATAAAACCAGGACCGGGCTCTGCCTTGAGCTGATGTGTCAACACGGAGAGCGTCTGGGAGAGGAAGAAACGCTTTATTTTGCCGGCACCACAGGCTGCAGAGCCACTTCGTGAATGCGGTTACATCTGTCTGACAGGTCAGCCCTAACTTCAGCTGGTGCTTTTCCCTGCCCAAACAGTGATTAGAGAACAGAAAATTTAAAGCATTAAAAGGCAGCTCATCTAGAAGAAATCCGTGATTCTGTGAAACACAGTTTGGAGTAGTCAGGAAATTAATGAAACTTCCAGAGCCACTGGCGCTTTGTCTTTTGAACCTTCTCGTAATTCGTCTGAGTTCTGCTAGGAAGTCAGAGGGGGAAATCCTGGGGTAGCTAAATGAAGACAAGACTCTGAATTTTACCCCACAGCCGAATTGCAAGTGGTAGGCACTGTGTTAAAAGAAGAATTGCCAGGCACGCTTGTATTTGTTTTATTTGCATTTCTCGTAAGCGAGGACTTCTGCGGCTGGTGGCACTGGCCGGTGAGAGGCCGCGCGCCCCTCGAGCTGCTTTCCCTGGCCGTCCAGGAGCTCCGTCTGTCCTTCTGCTTGCCGTGCTTCCTAGCAGCGAAAGAAGCATCGCTTTACTGGGGTTTCCAAGCGCAGCGTTACAGGCGTTGAACCCCACAGCTGGACTTTGCCAGGTGCTGGTGGCAGTTCAGCGCTGAACGCGGCACCGGGCCGTTGCCGGAGCGGGGCAAGGGACGAGCAGGCGAGGGGAACACAGCTGGGTTCCTGCTGCTGGGAAGGCCTGGAGGGAGCTGCCGGC